AATTTTGTCTTGCCTCCCGTGGGGTATGTAAAGGGAATAGATCAGCATCTTGCAGAATTGACTTGGCACGTCAGCCTGACGCAGACAGATATAGATAGAGGAACTATACTATTATATTTATAAAACCAGCTTTGTCATAATTGGATTGTGCTAAACGGTACTACATTAATAATTTCGAAGATTAAGTTGTTACACTTCCTGACTAATTTGAAAATATGATTATTAGTAACTCGTATGTTAGGTATAGGTTTAGTTTCTAGCCATTATTTATTTGTTAGACAAGATGTGGAAATGATCCAGCAAATAACCAAGAAAATTTGATAATCTGTCACTTCCATTGTAAAGAAAAAATAAATCATTTAGGTTTATGTTACTGAGTGACGCACAGATTGAGGAAAATGGACACTGCGATCTTATAGAGCATTAGAAATAGAGTCATCTATAAAAAGGCATAACTGTAGTAGCCTCTTATTTACTGTGAAATTATGAAAATATTCACTGCATATCACAGCTCAAAGACTAATTCCAAAACACCCTCACACAGACAGAATTCATAATGTCAATTTTCTGTAGATTGACACAGAGTCCAATAAAGGGCGTGTCTAGGGAGTAAATAGAAGATAAGAAAGATTAGCTTTGAGCTTTAGGGTTCCCATTATACTCTGGTTTTGGGACTCTGGAGGATGCATTGCTCTTGGTAACAAATATTGTCATTTAAAACGGATATGAGGGAGAAAAAAGGTAAAAGTTCAGGAGACTTATGTGTGGTTAATCATTGCAATACTGGTACCAATGGATTCCCGCACCTATTCATTTTTGTAAGAATTATACTCCAAAAAAAAAAAAAAAAAAAAAACATACCCCACAAACCTGTTTTGTATAAGGAAGGGCATGAAGGTTACCAGGGAATTTGTGAGGTAAAATGCCAAAGATATACAAAATAGGTCTCTTAATCATCTAATGAAGGGGGGGCTGTGCCACGTAACACAGCCCTTAAGGGGGGCTCTATTTGTATATGTATTATTATATATATGTTATATATACACATATACACATATACACATATACACATAACAATATAACATAACACATATACACATACATACATACATATAACACATATACACATATACATATATACATAATATACATATACATATACATATATCATCATACATATACACTATACATATACATATATCATATAACATATACATATACATATACATATACATACACACATATACAATATATACATATACATAACATATATCATATACATATATACATATAACATATACATATACAATATACACCAGCATATACACATACACATACACATACACAACACATACACACTACACATATTACACACACATAACACATACATATAACATAAACATATACACATATTTATACATATACATATACATATCTATACATATACATATACATATACATATATATATATACATATACATATATATATATTATATATATATATATAATAATATATTTACATTTAATTATATATAATTAGATGTGTATGTGTGTGTGTGGTTTATATATGTATGAATGTATATATATATATAATATATAATATAGAATATATATATGAGATAGATAGATAGATAGATAGATAGATAGATAAATGTTTTTATATATAGATTCATATGTGTAAAAAAAAATATATAATTAATATATATTATTTATTATATAATATGTATATATTTTTATATATATATTTTATTTATACATGACATACATTACAATACATGCATATTATTACATTACATACATACATGTATATACATATTATTGTATTATAAGTTAATGTGTGTGTGTTTTGTGTTTGTGTGTGTGTGTGTGTGTGTGTGGTGTGTGTGTGTTGTGTGTGTGTGTGGTGTGTGTGGTGTTGGTGTATGTGTGTGTAGGTGTGTGGTGGTGTTAGGTGTGAAGGAGTTTGAGTAATGATTATTAGTTTTGGATTAGTGTAGGTGTAGGTGTATTTCTGGTGATTTTTAGTTTTTTGGGTGTGTTTTAGTTGTTTCTATAACTATATTTAGTTTGGTGTGTCTTTAATTTTAGGTAAAAGATTGATTATATTTATTATATAGTTTTTGGGTATTAAATCACAACAAAAACAGCATTTCAAATGTGTCAATTAAGTGATATTCTTTGATAATCCTTTATATAATAATAAAGAGTCATATTATTATCAAAATTTAATATCTATTTATAATGTTTTTGTTATTACATAGGAATTATATGTTTAAAATTGAGAGTCAAATATCCTAGTATACATAAGGGTGCCAGATACTATTTTTTGAGATTAAGAATTTTTATAAACTTTTCTTGAAATTTATTGTCAAATCTTACCAGAAGACACATAGACTAAGTCTTTTGTGAAGGTTGTGTCATGGTTGGGTATGTCACTTGTGATATTAAATAATGTTTTTATTAATTATTTGCATTGGAAGGATAGGTATGAAATGTCATAGAATTTATTGGTGGGTCACTAACTTTTTCTGGTATGTTAATTGTAACAAAGATATGCTAGTTGTTGTTATGAATTGCTTTGTTCCATGCTGATCTTTGGAGTAAAATGCATGTTTTCAGATATAAGCCAATAACTCATTCACCAAGCATTATCACCCAGGGTCATCACTTTCTAGTGTGAGAAAAAGAAAATGGATAGAGCTTTTTATTATATTGAGTACATAATGTCTTTGATATTTTTTTCACTTTCAAAAATAAATATACGTTCTAGACATTCCAGTAAATGAAATGAAAGTAAAGGTCCAAATGATCCATAGGAACTATGTTCATATAAAAACACTTAGCTGGTGTTAGCTGGTGCGCGGAGTCAAGATGGACTCCCATTTTCTTCTTGTGGAATTCTATTATGCTGAAGTATGAGATTTTTTTTAAAACAAGTTGAACCTCGGTGATGGCAATTGATAGCCAACCAGCTTCAGTATTGTGGGATAGTGATTTGAAGCAGGGATCATTAGTTTGCATGACTGCTGCTTAACCAGCTGTGACACAACCAACACCTCATGTAGTGTAAGTCTGCTACAATTTACAAGAATAATTAACCTTAGAATCTTTAGGTATTAGAACAAAACACGTAGGAGCTATTTGATACAAGGGAAAAAAATTAACATAGTCATTCATTATTCTTTCATTTATGATTTCAGCGAGGAATGAAAGCAGCTTCACTCCAGGGAACAGATAGAGGTCACATAATAAGCCTCTTCCACAAACATGTTTGCCCTAAACATCGACGGGACTACCGAGATAATAGGAGGGGGAAGATCATGATTGCACAGAGAAGTAAAAGAGAAAAAGGCTCTGTTGATGAAAATTGGAAAAAGTAAGTTTATGGGGCTTGAACTTTGATCCTCTCTGAAATATTTATTGTCTTCCTTTTCATATAAAATATTTTCATTGTTTTTAACAAGTGAACACAAAGAGTCAGTTTGTGAAAAGTAGACTATTCATGATTTTTTTCTTATTGTTTATCAGTAGATTATAGTAATTTGATATTTATCATATTATTAAGGAAAATTATTGCTCTGCCTGTTAGCTCATGCTAATTATGTAGAATGATTATTTACTTGAAGCTTCCAGGCATTTAAGTACCTTACAATTTTACCAATACAATATATTTAATTGTCTAACCTATAGCAGTCATTCAGCAAATCTTTATCAGTTATAGACTCAAACATGGGTGCAGAGTTTTCAAGATGATTCATTGTATTGACAGAGGTTTTAGTATGTTATTTTTCTATACTGCTGAGATGTTTAGTGTATTAAGGGACTATGCTCTATTAATAGAACATTTAAAGAAAAAGGATTATAAAACAAGTTTTACTAGACCATATGATTTATAGAATAATATTTTCTATCATTTGCTTTGACAGGATGGTCATGGATTCCAAAGAAAGATCACTGTCATCATCAAATGCCTCTGACTATGCCAGTGCTGAACGCCTCAAGCCTCCTCCATCGTGCATTAACACAGAAAGAAAGACTATTAAGTTAGGTGGTTTCAACAAGACTTCTGCATCGAATATGGACTTTATTGTGGTTAAGAGAAGAAGTTCAGAGGATAGTGACCAAGGACCTGAAAAATTGAGAAAAATGTCAGGAGAAAGAGACTCAGAGCAGAATAAAAGAAAAGATAATGAGGACCATGAAAATTCCAAGAAGATGAGAAAAGATACAGAGGATGAGAATGATAAGGTAAGACTTCTAAATTGTTTTCCATTATTAGAACTCTTAATTTTTAAGTCTTGTGTATGTTTTCTTATATTGGAAACAGATTGATTTGCTCCAAGAGCTTATTTATTGAATAATGTATAGTTATGAACTTTCTATTATATTTATATTTTACAGACATGGAAATAATGATTTAACCCATTGGATCCGGGTGCTTCGCTACCAGCATGTGGCCGAAAATCCAGGCATTAGGCTTACTTGATTGGCAACTCTCCCAGATGTGTGGCATATAGGCCGGGTGCATTTTTTGCTCTTTTGCCATTTTCCAAGGTCAAATTAGTCATTTGAAAAGCTGTATCAAGATGGTAATTGAATGATTTCCTTGCACAGACTTCATTTTTTCTAAGTCAGGAGTGTCAAACTCATTTACCTCAGTGGGCTACATTTCACCTTAATATACAGTATGCAGACCTGTTAATCATAAGTCATTGCAATGAAAGGGCCATTTGGTTGACACAATAATGTTGCAGGTTATTTCATGCATTACAAAATACAAAAGTAGAAAAAAAAACTGTTAGAATTAAATTGATAATCTTAAAAGATGAAGGACTGGCTTAATTAATCATGTAAAATGGTCGACTGTAAGACTGAAATTCCATGGCCTGCACATAGGAGTATGGCAGGCTACATACAGCCCATGGGGCCATGTGTTTGACACCCTTGCTGTAGGTGGTCTATTACTCTATGCAATAACAATAACAATAAGGAAGGTTTTTTATTTGTGACATTTTAGAAATATTTTTGGAACATTCAAATTTCTGTGTCCTCCCTGGACCGGTGCTCTTCCAGTCATGACTCACGGATGGTACATTTCACCCACATTACTAGTGGAAATAATGCAAGTACCCCTTCCTAAATGCCCATTGAGTCTAATTACTGTCCAAGAGCTTGGTGCACTCATAGAGAGCCAATCCCTTCAGCTGAAAATCCTTTGATATGTTCCCTGTCCCTCAGCCAAATTTTTCCATGACAACATGTTCACATTACCTGCCCCTCAAGCCAAATCATTTCGTGACATGATAGTGACATCACCTGGATCCAAGGGGTTAATTCATGGTCAGATATGATAATGCTGCTTCAAACAAACAGCACGTTTTTCATATCGGGTGGAAAAAGGTATAAGCTTAACCATTTAATTACATAAGCTTTCAGTAAGACTGTGAGAGCGATACGTGAAAACACACGTTGTTGCAGTGAAAAACAGTTTGAATAATATTGTTTTACGATATTGTTGGTTGATTAAAAAAAAAAATGTATTAGGCCTACTGGATTTTATGTTTGAAGTGTGAGATGTTCATAACTAATTTCACTGGGAAAAGCTTATTATTTGAAGGTGGCTCTACTTTTCACCTTAGCTATTTTATTGCTATCCAGGAGAGAGTTAAAAATTTCATTTATTAGTAGATCTCAGTTTTTGAGAACATTAGGCCTACTCTTCAAGAAATTACTTTTTGTATATTATGACAAAATTATTCTTGGAAATATGTGTCGTTGCAGTTGAATTGATATTCCATTAATCAATAGCAGTGGCTTGGCTTTTGTTAGATGAATTGATTCCTTACCTTTTGTGGGTATCTGAGCACCAGTGAAGTGTTTTATATCACAATTTTTTCAGGATATTTGTTATCCTCAGTTAATTTTTTTCTTCCTTCAGACCTCACAGGAGAATGGGAAGAAAATGAAACATGACAGAAAGCCCATCACCTGGCCGTGATTTTGTCATTGGTAATTATTATCTTAGAATGCATAGATATAAGGCAGCAAGTAGGAAATGGAAATGACTGACAAGAGAAAATGTTTAGCCAGCTCTTTAGTATGGTGAAGGAAATAAATGCTGATAACACAATATATAGAGTGGAATATAGTGTCTGCCTCTGTTGAGAAGTGCTTCGGGGAGTAATTTCAGTGATTGTATATATACACCAAAGCTTAGAGGAATATTCTTTTCTGCTTGAACTTGTATAAGTAAGAAACTCGTGCATAGAAATGTTTCTCTAATAGCCTAAATGCAAATGTTTGTATAGTATGTCCATGATACTCTTTGAATATAGAACCCTACTTACAGACTAGTGGTGGAAAATATTCTTGGGTTCTTTATAGTATACCTGTAATGCTACTACTCTTTATTTTATTTTTTAAGAATTTATTTAGATATGAATTACACAGCACTAATGGCTTATATACATGAACTAATGTCTAACTTGTTGATTTTTGTCTTTTTGCTATTGGACAACAGGGATAATAGAATTAACTGTTCACCTTTTCCTACAACTCACTCATTTGATAAGTAGAATAACGGCTTTGGAATGTTTTAAAATTCTTTGTTATTTCAATTCACTTGTCTTTTTTCTTACAACCAATAGTCTCTGGGAATATTTATCTATTTTTGTTATATACGAGGCAGTTTACCAAAGACAGATAGTGCTGTGAGGGGACACCTTTACCCCTTAAAAAGTGCATATCTTACAGTCTGATGTAGATGTGGCTAAGTTTTATACCAAACAGTTGCATCTGTCTACTTAACTCAGTATATGCACAAATATTTGTATTTTGGGAATCTACAGATTAAAATCTACATTATGAGATTTATTAGTATTTATTAGTAAATTCAGTGTGCCCTGCATCCTCATGAAGGATTATCAAAATGTAGTTTGCACATCCTCTAGGGGTTAAAGGAACTATTAACTACTAAAATGCCTGAATATAGTTATAACTTTTTTTTTGGATCATGTAATGATATAATCTAAACCACCTTAGATTATTGTATGTACCTAATTGTATGTTTAAACATACAATAAGGTGACCTGATCATTGGCATACAAACATGTATTGAGGGCACTGTCATCCTGAAATATGTTTTTGATAAAATTGAGAATTGAGAGTTATAGTCCCCTTAAGAGGATATCAGAAAGCATTAGAGACATAATTAACATTTTAGCTACATAGGTTTTGATTTACATGTCACTTATTTGTATTAAAATTGCTTATTTATTATGCTTCACAGAGCATATCGCTGAAACATATGTAAGGTAGAAATTTGAAGTCCAGTAAACTTATGGGAAAAGGTCTTTATTTGAATAAGCCTAATTTCAGCTCACAATTGGCATTATGCAACTTGTGTGATGATCCACAGTTTCCAATACATTTTGTCAATAATCAGATAACAAGAAGAGACAAATGAAATGTAGTATCAAAAGATTATTGGTATTTTGGAAGGTTTATTGAGCTCTAACCACAAACACACTTTCTATCCTGATGTTTAAACATACAAGTAGGTGACCTGATCATTGGCATACAGACATGTATTGAGGGCACTGTCGTCCTGAAATATGTTTTTGATAAAATGATTACAAATTTACACTTCAAGTAGATGATTATGTGACCTGTAGTTCTTGTAGCAGCTACCAGTTGCCATTGGTACATCAGGGGAATGTGAGTACATTTTTTAATAGTAGAAGTGTAGACAAGAAAGTGCATCTGCTTAGAACATTTTTATAAGTGCCCAGACTTGGCAGAAAAATATGTTTCTTGACTAAAGGCAAGCTAGCAGTCTGAAACATTAGAGAATGATTGTAAAGATGATAATAATGATAAGGATGATGATAATAAAAAATCTGTATCTATTGTGAAAATATATTGCTGTGATGACAGGGCCTGAATTTTTTTTTATGTAATATTCCACAACAGTCTAGACTTTCTGGCTAGGCCAAAAACAGTAAAGCTTGCCCAACCATTGCAAGTCATGATGCGTATATTCATCATAGGCCGTTATGTCAGGACAGCTATAGATGTACCCATTACTGAAGGGTTAAAACTGCTTAAACTATGCATTTGCATATTGCATTATGTAAATCCACATTTATGCAAGCCCTAGCTATGACCCTCACCCTCGTTTCAGTGCTATCACCAGGACTAGCTAATAAGTGTGCTACATTATATTACACTACACTAACAACAATGGAGATGACTACAAAGCATAGATACATGAAAATTGTCTTCCATTTTTTGTTTTTTTAACTATTCAAAAAGTAGTATGTACCATTACCACAAAAAGTGCTCTAGGATTTCATTCACATGATCTGTTAATGCCTGTTAATGGACTTTTTGCTTGTGTCCATAGGCACACCAGAGAAGTACTCATGCTAGGGCTTAAGACAATTCACTAGAAGTGACTGGTAATGTAATGGAGTCATGTATGGATCCTAAGGAACTACTTGAATTTTGCAGCTAGTAATTATTGTCAATTGTCATGTTATTCTTCCATCCAAAAAATATGCATCATTTTTGTTATACTGAACATGGTCTTGTCGAAGACCTACTAATACCTAATGATAATAATGACTGGACCTCATGTAGATAACAGTACAAGAGTGCCCACAGACATAGTATGGACAAAGCCCAGAGAACATTGATCATTTGTGTGATGGGGCTTAAATTTATAAATGGTACACTTTATATTGCTGGTACTGCTATTAGCACGAGCATTAGTTTTGATCTTACATTTACTGACGTTGTGGCTCACCTTTGCATAAAATTATATACATTAAAATTTGTGGAAAGGTTTTGTCACAGTACCTAGCATAAAGAAATAGACAGTATTTTGAATGATGGAAATTTGCTGGTGATATTTGTGTACTTAGATAAAGATGATGCTCATCATCCCCTTTTCTGAAAGAAAAATAAAGAAAAAAGGATACAGGAATCTTTATAAGCAATTTCTAAATACAAGCAAGGTAAATGTAGGTATCAAGTAACTGGAAAAGAGAGTTGCGTCAATTATATTTTCTTTTTCTTTTTTTTTATAGAAAGGGAAATGTTCCCTCTTGTTGATTAATTTATGGATGGCCAGCTTTACCCCTTTGGTGGAGGATTTTTTTCTTTTATTTCTTGATTTTGTGATTGTGCTTGGTTATTTTTCAGTTACACAAGTCTTTGATGTTATTTTTTATTGAGAGTCCTCTGCACACTGTAAAGAAAATCAGTAGGTTTTCTGTATATTTTTATCATGTGTGCTTATTGTATGGCTTATTAGTTTTCCTGTTGATCTGGAACTTTTGCATTCTCTGGGACATGCTGGGATTTACGATGTGAAATATGTACATTTTAGTCTATTGAACAAATATTTGAGATATGATATTTAATCATTTGGAGTGATTTAGAGGATCTGTGATTTTATAAGTGTTCATGTATTTTGCAAGGGGAGAAAAATTGCCAGCTAAAAATTTAATGTAAAATTTTGACATATTTTGGTCAAAATAGTGGGCATTTTCTACCTTCATAGCTTATTCAGTATTTTTTGAACAAGCTTGATATTGACTATGTTTTGTTTATCAGAGATGACAAAAAAATGAAGCCACTGGATGGCATATTCCTTGTTCACTGCTATTTTCATTTATTAAGTTTATTTACAAATAGATGGCTCCACCAAGGTCAAAGTTACTAGGCCTGTCTGATTTCATGTTACCCTATTTCATGTATTTCTGGAAAAAAAGTTTGTATTTTGTTACACTTTATATTGATAATGATGCAATGGTAATAATAATGTCAACAATTATAATATTAATGGCAATAATATCTGTATTTTATTTTTTCTTACCTAAAAAACAAACAAAAACAATGGAAATAGGTGAGGTCAGGTTGCCATCCATATGTAACCAAATGACAAGAGGACTATAGTGGAGAGTTCAATGACGAAGCGTTAAGGCTTTAGAAAATT